TTTCTCTTTTTGGACTTTCCAGGTGTGTGTGCACGTGCGTGCATGTGTAAAATCCAGCTTGAATTTCTGCCACTTACAACCAAACCGGTTCCAATAAATGATCAGTGTCACGAAAGCAGATATGATTAGACATGACCAGGGAACCAATCAGATAGTCTCTCACTATGACAATTTCTTCTGTGAAGGGAGAACCAGAGACCCATATTCCCTACGTCCTGCCCTCAATAGCACGTTACTATTACTGCTGTAAAAACTGCCTCTTATTTTTAACCTTCTGATAGATAGGAATTGAATGGCTGATTCCTTACAAAGTACCCAACCCCCTCCGTTCCCGTCAGCCTCCATAATCATGTTTTATTTCTAGTCTCTCAGTCTCTACAGCTGACATCTGCATGTACATACAATTTCAGGATTCTAAATCTCATCTCTCCCACTGCCTGTGCCTCACCTGAAGTCATAATCCCCTGTTTGTCACTTCATAATCACTTCCCTGGCACAGCACTGTTGCTTCAGGTGGGGGATAAAGCAGCAGGAGCAGATGAACTCTTAGAAACAAAGATCCCAATTTCTTATAGCAGGGGACATCCTTCACTAAGCCTATTTGGCTGTATAGATTATAGCCTCCCGGAGTCCCACAGAGTAACACATGAATGTTAGGAAAGCACCCACGTAAATATGCTGGTTTGCCCAAACATTGGGGGGCGGTGAGGCAGGAATAAAGAAGATGCCTCTCAGGTGCACTCAAAATAATTGTTAAGGGTCTACCAACAGGGTAACATTCACAGGAAAGAAAACATCTCCAGAGCCATCCTTATTAAGCCAAACTGAACAAGGATTTGCACCAGGCAGTGGCTGTGGAAGTCGTTAATGAAAGCCCTTCCAGGCTGGAGAAAGGCCAACACACAAGGGTGAACGGTTTAGCTTCAATCTCTCCCATAAGCGCTTTCATATTTCTCCTAACAATGCCAACAGTCTTGTTGTCTTCATACTGCCACTGTTTTCCCTTCTTTTCTTACATTTTATTTTTTGTTCAAAGCTCTCAAAAAACAAAAACCAACGCCAAAAACCAAAACCCAAATCAAAGCAAAGAGAGGCTACACGTGTAACACTGCAGAACATGGTCTAATTAATCACTTGAGAGACACAAGTGAACACATTGCCACATGCTGTTTTGATCATGCCAGAAATGCAGTGGACCCTTAGCAGAGGTAATAGGAGAATCACGATGCTGTGGGTCAACTTCAGGTTGAAGGACAGTTCTCTGTGAAGCCAAGCCTGAGAGTGAGCAGTAGGTTCTCCATATCTTCTGACACTTTAAATGCTGATCAAGAAATGTTAATTTTAAATTAGTTATCCTTGGAAAGAACTACTGACATGTGACAAAACTTATCTTAAATTTTCCCAGATGGCTCCATGTTTGATTCAACTTAAGAAACAAATCTTTTTTTTAAACCTCTAATGGTGTCTACCCACAGCAGATACTTAAAAGGGTGCGTAGCTTAGTGGTTAGAAAGCTAAGCTAATGAGCTAGCTCAAAAAGCCATCCCAGAAGTACACAGTGGTAGGAAGGTCAATTCTATCAGCATTTCCAGAAAAAGTAGCTCATGCTCCTAGCTCTCTGGGAGGCTGAAGTGGGTGGATTGCCTGAGCTCAGGAGTTCAAGACAAGCCTGAGCAACAGCAAGATCCCATTTCTACTAAAAATAGAAAAACTAGCCGGGCATTGTGGCGGGCACCTGTAGTCTCAGCTACTCAAGAGGCTGAGGCAAGAGGATCTCTTGAGTCCCAGAGTTTGAGATTGCTGTGAGCTATGACAATGCCACTGCACTCTACCCCAGGGTGACAAGAGTGAGACTCTGCCTCCAAAAATAATAATAATAATAAAATAAAATAGTAGTTCATCAGATGGCAGCATTTTCTTCATTTATAAAGGGTAGCTATTGAGACTTAGTATAATTCATATCTTTCTTTGAAAGGTTTAATAAATAACAGCCTTAAGCATTTATTTTCATTATCCAGACAATCACGTAACACTTACTAAGTGAAATGCACCAGGAAGGGCACTGCAGTCTCACTGTCTCCCCGGGACAGACATGCAATACTGTGCCTGGCTATGGGCATCCAGGGGACAGAGTGTTTATAATCAATCACATCATCCTAACTAGAGTAGCTCCTGGCATAGAGAGAGAGAGTGCAAAAAAAAGTTAGTTGAAAAGAAAGAATAAATAATAAGTAAAAGAATTACGAGGACTCTCAGACATTGCTGGAAATTATCTGTATTCGTTTTTAGCTTCTCTCCCCACTAGACCATAACCCTACAGAAACAGGGACTCCATCTGACTTGTGTGTAGTGCCTAAAACAGTAACCAACTTGGTAACTTATTTGTGGAATACACGAATAAATAGACGAATGAAAAATAATTTTTAGTTGGAGAAACTGAAGTCATTTATTCAACTTTGACCTGCCTTAATATTATACAACATACACATCTTTGGAAGTACAAGTTAGGTAAGTTTACCAATAGGACAAATCTAAATGAGTACAACCAAATCTTCGATGGCAAAGACTCAATGCCCAGTACATGGCTATGAGTCCAAGAAATTTAGGAAAGCATTTAGGCTTAGAAAAAGGATGATTTCTTTTTATTTTTCCCTTCTTATAGGCAAGAGGGGGCAGATAAGGTACATAAAACTTCAATAATGTCAGAAAAATTGAGAAGGGGGTAAAAATAATTTAGGGAACATCATAATTCTAAAATTAAAAAGAATGAATATGTAAATAATAGGAATTCTTGTCTTTTGAAAGTAGTCCAGATGAGCAGGAGGGAGTGAGAGGAGAGATATTTTATTTCTGCTTATCAGAAAATCAAAATAAACATGTTTGCACTGGCTCTGCCACAGAAGTCAAGATATACAACAACAAGAAAGAATAAGATTAGATTAGTGGTCTGTTTCTATACCAGTGTTCTTTCATTGTTGGCTTTAAAATAATGATCTATCAAAATTTACCTGTCGCAGTATTTTATACCTAAATCATCTTTGTCTGGGTTATAAGGAGAAAGAAAAACTCCATAACACCCATTTGAATTTTCATGTTTTAGCCACAAATAAACATGTGTTAATTCAGTGCTGTATTAAAATACCTAAAATATACAGAATACATTAACTATTTCTTGTTATGCTGATGAGGAAACTCTTTAAAACAGGACCAACATTACATAAGCATCCTATACATTCTTATAACTCATTGAGTTTTAAAGATCAATTAAGTATCATCTTATGTTGCCATAAAATAATTACCTCTGGATCTTATAGAACAAAGGAAGAAGTGGGAAGGGACCCATCAATTTCAATTTTAAGTCCCCTTTCCGTAATTGCAGGCAAGTAGAAATGACTTCTGGACCAGGTTTCTGCACTGCCTTTGTCCTCCATAGTGAATATATCAACATACCCAGTGCACTAAGTGAAGGGTCTGGGACTAAGCTTAGCTCATGACTGTGCTCTTGGCACTTTCCCCCAGCTAGGCTCTGCTAGTCCCAAGAAAGGAAGTGGAGAAAAGCTGGGCCAAGCAAAGAAATGGGGCAGAGGGTCTGATTGTCCATTGATACAGGGTTCCAAGGGAGTAAGGCCAAGTGACTCTGAAAATATGGCTGCTTAAATGATGGCTTAAAACAAAAAAAACAGACTTGGCCTTGCCATACTGGCTAGTATCGGAGTGATCAACGTGATCAGATATTTCATAAGACTATCAGAACTCCATAGTTCTGAAATGACTCACAGTGCATCATGGGTCACTCACTCCAATTGGTTCTGAGCCATTATACATTTTCTTTTTGATGAGATTTTTAAATGGCGTTTTCTTCCCAATTTGCTCTCTTTCCATACAATTCAATTTCCCTGATATGAAAGAATTTGCTGCTTCTACATAACGAAAATTTAATTTAGTAATTTGAGGCCCACTTTGCTGATTTACCAACTTTCTTTAACCCTAAACTAGAGAACATTTATGATCTCTCCTAGCTTCAAATGAAAATAATCTCATAACACATTCAACCCCATTCTCCAGTTTATTAATAAAAATACTGAACACTAAGATTTGGAATAGATCCTTTGCAGGGCTGTGTTAAACATCCCTTCTTTACTTGACGTAATACCATTTATTTCTCTGCATTTAACTCTCCTTGGCCAATTCTTTGTCCATTCTAGGACAAAACTTATGTAATCCAATGTTCTTTGAATTCTTTTTGCCCTAAAAACCATGACGTGCAGACTTCGGTATTGCCATAAAACATCCATGTAATAATAGAATGATTAGTACAGAATCTTTACAAATCACCACATCTAAAATGGAGAAGAGAAACTGATTCACTGTAGAGTGCTTTAAGTTTTCCATGATCAGTGATTACATGTATGTCCTCTGAGGCTAGGAGTCGCTGAAAGAAATAATAACCTATTATACACAAATACATGCATACACGTGGGATTTTTTAAAAAAATCATACTAAGTCTATGATGGCAATTCATGTTTGGCATGAAAATAATAAAGGTTTGATATTTTGCTTTCAAGCAAAAGTATCCCTTGACTCCATACATGAGGCAAACATACCTACCATGAATTCTTCTAGCCGTTCTCTTTAATATATAACAAATTTTATAAGACAATATTTCTTTTATTTGTTTCTTTTTCTCATAAGGCCTAGATTATGGTTAATATCTCATGACACCAAAAGTAATACTGCCACAGATATTAAAGCATTTTTTCAGCCACTTATTCTATAAAATATTAATTGCAAGCCTGTGCATGGGCTGTCTATACAGGGGATTAGGTAACCGAGTTCCTGCTCAGTTCTGAATCAATAAAAGATAACATGCAGAGCATCAATCACCATTCACTCTTCCTTCAGTGCATAATAACTGCAACCTGAAGATTTTAAAAATATATATTTAAGCACTCAAGGAGACGATGTAACACGAGCTAGAGAGGATATGAACAGTACTCACCTAGGAAGGACAGGTTTTTCTCCAGAAGCAACTCTCTCAGCAGGACCTCGTGCTCATAACCAATGGCACTGGAAGTTTTAGTTAAAGAGGGTAACACAGGTAGTAGGATCCCATCATCGGGAAAATGTTAATACTAGGTTTATACTTGGAGATGAAATAGAGAATTGAATCATCAATGCCACTATACTCAACCATTAGCCCACATCTCTGAGGAATGAGATTTCTACACACATTCCCTCGTTTAAAGGACCAAGTAGAACTTTTCAATTTTTATATGTATTTGGCCGTCAAATATTTATAAATGAATGTGTACTTTAACTCCTTTTAAAAAGGAGGGATCACTTTAAGCACACATCAATCTGTGTTAAAAATTCCCAATTCAATTCAGCATACATTTACTAAGTACAGCAAAGAAAACCAAGCAGCCTTTGCCCTAAAAGAACTTCCAATCTTACAGAGGTCTGTAAATCATCTACAAATTCAAACTTGCCACAGAACCGGCAGTTAGCAGGTTTTCGCCTTCACTTCTAGTCTACTGTTGGGGATCTTCTATGACTTGGGAAGCCAAACTAGGGACTTGTTAAGAATATAGGGAAGACTGTTTATTGCAGCTCACTTTACAATCACCAAAATGTGGAAGCAGCCTAAATGCCCACCAACGCAGGAATGGATTAACAAGCTGTGGTATATGTACACCATGGAATACTATTCAGCCATAAAAAGATGGAGACTTTACACTTTTTGGATTAACCTGGATGGAAGTGGAACACATTACTCTTAGTAAAGCATCACAAGAATGGAGAAGCAAGAATCCTATGTTCTCAATTCTGATATGGGGAAAATTGATGACCCAGTACACGGTGGGGCATGGGGGATGGGATATGCAGGAAAAGGGAAAGGGGGGGGGTGGGAGGTCACGGGGTGTGACACACCTCTGGGGGATGGGACACAATTTTAAGAGGGACTTTACCTAACAAATATAATCAGTGTGACCCAGTTCTTTGTACCCTCAATGAACCCCTAACAATTAAAAAAATGCAAAAAAAAAAAAGAAAAAGAAAAAGAATATATGTAATCAGGGAGAAAGACATCCTAGTAGAGAACTTTGGATCTGGGTGTGAGTATAGAGGCTGTTTCAGGAGACTTTTTTCACATCTGTGCATGTGCACACATAATATATATATATATATACACATAAATAAATATACACATGAACATATACATATTTAAGTGCTTACTATGCAGAAGGCACTATGTCAAGTATTTTATGTGTGTTATTTCATTCTCACAATCGTTGTAATCCTTATTTTGTAGATGAGGAAACTGAAGCTTAGGAAGGAATTTACACACGGTCATAACAGTTCACATGCGGCAAAGCAGAGAATGAGAGCAAGATCTCTGTAAAGTCTGTTTATAACGTCCATGTAGCTTCCCAAAAAGCATTACAATTACCCAATGACTGATAATACCTGCCAAATATCACATATGAAGGGGCTTTGTGCTATATATTTTGAGCTTCTAACTTAAGATTCATAACAATCACATCAGCAGATATAATAATTACTCCCATTTTTACAGTTATGAAAACTAAGTTTTGGGAAGGATAACGAACTTGCTGAATGCCCCATGGGTAGTAAACATGAAATCAGGAGTAGGTCTTATAAGTCTGCTCTATTTTCCAAGAGATTGTACATACAGAGTCTTAAAGGAAGTGCTATCCTATTCTGGTACTTTAATTTGGTCAAAAGCACTTGGCGATAATCATTTGAATTTGCTATTTGCATTCTCCATTTCCCTGATAATGTCAACCTGGTTACTGCCCTCCTTGGCTTACCAGAAACTCTGATTCTGATCATGGACTACAAGAGTTCAACTTAAATAAAGCTTATGTATTATTTGTTAAAAATAAATTCCTAAATAATTATCCTGTCCTTTATCTGCATGTAAGGTGAGTACAGTTTAAATCTTACAATTCAAGAGATGTGGCCTTTTATATCCACCAGGCAAACGAGGCCCTGTCATCATTACTGCCCTTTCCTCCTAATGCTGGCCCCCCCATCCCAAAGCACATGGCTGCGCTTTTAAAATTTCTAATTAGAAACAAAATAAACGAAACAAGTTTTTAAATCACAAAATTTCACCCATGTTCAGAGTCCATTGAAGCCCTGTGATGAATAACTCTCAATGGCGTCTCATTACCAGGGACATCCCACATTTTAGAACTAAATTATTTACTTCTACTCCACATAAATGTGCTCTCATTTTTATTGTTGTAAATTATTTACATCTAAAATGTTGAATCATGAAACTGAGGTTACTGATGGTACAGAAATGAAACCCACAGCATTTGAAGCTTCCTGCGTCCTTATCTCTCCTTGCTTCGTAGTTTATGACTTTGTCTAATAGCTGTGTCCTGCAGTCACACTTTGGAAAGTTGAGGTGGCTGTTTTCTCTTTTTTTTTTTTTTTTTGGTGAGTAGGAAAGCTGTGGGTAGACATGGCTGTGTAGGAAAAAAAAAATTGGTAGGGACCAAAGGAAAAAGAAACCACAATGGCAGTGTCTACACCCTCGGCTAACTATGCTTTTTGTGATGTCTTACTAGTAAATGACCAATTTCTTTCCACTTCCACAAATGTCTCCATGTCACATTTTCATAATGGAGTAAAAAGATTGCACACCTGTTCTATTTACCAAATGTGTGCATCCTTTCTCACAAAATGATGCTATTTCCTGAGAGGAAGCAATATAAATATTACCAAATTATCAGAACAATACACAAAAAGCATTTTCACTCACACAAAAGCCAATAATTTTTATTTAGTGTGAAATGAAATAATTCCTGTTGATGAGTCTAGCAAACGCCTATCCAGGCATATTTACATGATATGGAACTGTTACTGCCTTCCATGCAAAGGTACAACCAGCAGCTCCATCAACTTCCCAGCCTGTTTTCTTTCACGGGGTAAAAGCAACCAATAATTTGAAGTTTGGGAAAGATAGACATCTTGAGTATGTTTGATATAACATTTATAAAACGCAAGGTCTAGAGAATAAAGCTTATAAAAACAATACTGTCCCTGGAAATAGACATAATGGAATTGCAAAAATTAGAATGGAGTTGGTGAATATAATTTATAGACAAGCATCCTTATCTTTATCAACTGAAATCATGGACTACATTAAACTCTATGGGCAGTAACACAGCCAAAAAAGCAAAGTGAATGATGGCAAAAATGTAAAGAAAATACACCAAACAGAATTTATAATGCGCCATATGCAGAAACACTCTTAGACTTTGTCCATAATGATACCTATTATTGATGTATGGCAGTGACCACGGGCAAAACTTGTAAATAACCTCACAAACCATTTTCTTTGCCAGCAATGCTGCAATCTGGTTTCCCGTAAGCGTCTCAACTATTACTGAAAAATAGCCTCCTGGCATTTACAAAGCAGTTGACGTCATACTTTAGCCCGTGCATATATAATTAGATAGTTATATTTAAAATCGATATGCAATCCTTCAACAGACATTATGCTTTTAAAACCTTACCTTTAAATTGATTTTTAACTATTTTATGTGCTTTAAAATTAACACGTAATTCAGCCCAGATACCCTAAAACGGTGTGAGATGTTATACGAATGTGCTAAACTTTATCAGTGCAGCAACATGAGGTTGGCGCGCCTATGACTTCGAACACGATCATTAATTTTATACTGAAAAGAGAAGGGTGGTTTCATTTTAGTTTAATAAAAAGGCAAGCTACTGACAATGCTGTGTTTTTATAAACTGGAGGCATAAACTCGGACAATAAACATACCCGGCTGTATCTTAGGTATTGAATATTCTTTAAAGAGGGCTCTGTTAAAAGATAATTTATCAAAGGTTAACTTTATGAGAGAGTATTTTCTTATCATAAACATTATTGCCTCTAAGCCTCTGTGAGACAAGGTGGCAGGTAAGCACATACACCTACGTGTTTGACTAGCAAGTTTCCAGAAAAAAATCCCTCCAGATTAGTAACCACTGAGTCATAGCCCAGTCACCGTGCCATCCAGGCTAGCAAAACCTCCACGAGGAAGGGCCTGCTTATATTATTAAGAGCCATGGGACTCATGGACTCAGAAAATATTTTGATGCAAAAAATCACTATTTACCATTTAAATAGCATTTTTAGTAAAGGACTACCAAAACTCTCACTGTGTCCACATAACTACTGAATGTATTGATTGATACTGTCCTATCATTCGGACGAGGTTGTAGTCCTGCTTAAGTACTTACTGTCCATCCAATCCTGTTCTGAGACGGAAACATTAACTCTTTAGTTATCTCAAGGCCTTTAATGAAAAATAACTGGACATCTGTTTTCAGAGCCTTAAGCTCCGTCCAGAGGAAAAATATTCAGCTTCGTTTCTCTAAAAATGTGTATTAGGAATCCAAAGGACAGCTTGGATTGTAATCAACTTTGGGGCAGTAAGAATCTACTGCCCTTTAAAATGGGATAGTCTCCGGCAGTATTTTAATCACATCATCCTTTAGCTCTAGGCTCAAAATTTATTCTAGTAAATTCAATTGAATTTGGCTCATTTTAAATGGTAATTTGTTATATTTCTACAAATGTTCACGGGGAATGTTGGCTACATTGCAAGACACTGTGTTACCTGCCTAATGACTCTGTACCTTTAAGCTCCTTGAAAATCAAGCAGTTTGAAGTGAGCCCATGAAATGTGCAGCTGCTGAACTGACAGCTTCCTGCGGTCTATCTGATTTTTCTTAAGCTATAGAAGAGAGTGGTCTGTAGTGACCCTCCAGTTGATTGAATGTAAAACAGAAGAGTATGAAATGTGTTTTGTGAAGCAGAACTTTATGTCAGGTTAAAGCTAGACACAACTCCACTGCGTCTAAGCTCGTCAATTGTGCACCTAAAATTTTATGGGAAAGGATACTGCTTGATGCAGTCCACCAGTGGTCCATAACAGCAGTCATTCACAACACACTGCGGACGAGAGAAAGGGGGTGGGGGGGGTGGTTACAAAAACTATTACAGTAAACAGTATCCTAAAAGCAGTAATTACTTTCCTCCCCCACCCCCACCCCCCCAAAAAGAAAGCTATCAAAGGACTGTTCAGATTTAATCATAGAAAACAAAAATTGCATGCTTTTTATTCACTATAAAAGCAAGCTATTAAAAAGTGAAATGCTCTTCTCGAAAATATTGCATTGCCATTTATGGTGCACCCTGACCTCAGTGATAGTTTATGATGACAGTAATTAAATGAGGTTTAAAATCCTTTACTCTGGTAGGCAGATAACAGCATTGCCACTGAAAATAGACAGCTGTGATTAATACCTGATAGACCTGATTTGCTAGAACTCCATCTGGAATCTGAGAAGGGTCCCGTAGCATACTATTTATAACAGACTTGGAGGCTGGAGAAGAGAGGAGATGAACTGTTAGCAGACAGTCAACATACTTTTAACGCAACATGAGAAGTGACATGTACCCACATACACACAAAACATGAAAATGAAAATAGTACCGATACTAATCACTTTTTCCTTTTTTTTTTTAATCTAAGGGAAGCTTTTAATTAGACCATTTTGCCAAGTTTATAAACCACACTGCCAGATTTGATGATGACCTAATTTTTCCAAGGTAAATTAACAAGTACAGACCTACAACATATGTCTCTCTTCAGAAAAGTTAGCTTGGAAAAGCCCACTTGGAAACACACACACCCCCAAAACAATCAAAATAGAAAATATTTACCTTTTGCAGGTAGCTATTTTATAACTGAGCATATGTACAGGGAGAGCTTAGTGAAGAGAGGTCAGATTCCAAGACTTCAATAATGTCAATAAAATGACTCTCAGCCAAGAAAGCAACTCTGAATTCTGGGTCTTTGCAAAATAATTCTCAACTGCCATAAAATGTTACGTCCATGTCACAGGCGAAAAACGTAGGGAAAACGGACAATTAAGAGAATCTTTTTTTAGATTTTGTATTTTTTGAGACAGAGTCTCACTTTGTCATCCTCTGTAAAGTGATATATCACAGCTCACAGCAACCTCAAGCGCAAGTGATCCTCAGCCTTCCAAATAGCTGGGACTAGAGGCACCTGCTACAACACCTGGCTATTTTTTAGAGATAAGGTCTTGCTCTTGCCCAGGCAGGTCTCTAGTCTTGAACTTTGGAGCTCAGACGATCCGCCCGCCTGGCCCCAGGCTGCTTGGATTACAGGCATGAGCCACTATGCCTGGCCTAGTTGAGAGAATCTTAAAGAAAGGAAATATATACGGAGAGAGACACACATAGAAATTTTCCATCCCAAATACACCTTATCCACTTACAAGCTGGACCCCAGGGAACTACTATAGCTTCAAGGGGGCATCAATGAAGGATTTTGTTTCATGTTGTCTTGAAAAGCAAAGAGGGCGTCCTGACATAGCACTGCTGAGGCACGGGCAGCCAAGACAGCCAGAATCCCTGTTAAGGTGCGAGGAAGGCAGGCTCATAGACTGAAGGTAAGTCAAGGGTTGGCTAGGAATCAATTTTGTCAGTTTTTTTTATTATTTCAGATTGATATGAGGGTACAAATGTTTAAGTTACATTGTTTTCATTTCCAAGGTAAAGTTCAATTTGTATCTGTGCCCTTCACACAGGGGGGTGGGGGTGGAGGTAGGGGGGTGGTGCTGTATACCCTCACATTGTGCACAGCAGGGGAGAACTGGTCAATCCTCCTCCCTCCTTCCTTCCACTCCTCCCTCCCCCTCACTTGCATAGACTTGTGTTTTTCTTTCCTGTGGGTACGTAGTTGTTTATATTTTGGTTTCATATTAGTATTGAGTACACTGGATACTTGCTTCAATTTTCTCAAGTCCTCCAGTGGAATCATTTCCAAATACCGTACTTAGCAAAATGGCTTAAGGGCTTGTGCACACAAGCACAGATTAAATGCATCACGGATAATTTACCTAGTGAGCAGAATGAACACAGACCTTAGCTATACATCGGTCAAGTTCTGAGATGATTTTTGGTCTAACTCTTTTGGGTATTTTTAGATTACGTTCTTCATACAAGTTCAGTATCATAAGAACAACAACAGATATGATACATGCTATGTAAAGAAATAAAAAAATTATATGTCATTCACTTAAGCAAGGTATCAAGTCCACAAAGAAAAAATGAAGAACAATTATTTTAATTACACCTAGTCTAGGCCACAGAACTGCAGGCTTATAGCAACACCGATGAACTTGACAGCCATTTTTAAATGTGTCTGCACTGCATGTGGAGGACACACAAATACCAAGAAGAGATTGCTCCAGCTGGCCTATCCAGTTCTATCTCTATGGCTCCCTCTAAAACTTGGGCAAGCTATATAGTCTCCCAAGGTCAATGTCTTCATCTGTAGAAAGTGATAGTATTATTTGAGCTAACTATCTTAAAGGGTCCTTGTGTGAGTCTCTAGAGAAAAGAGCTACAAGAACATTTTGTTAAGTCTAAGTAATAGTAAGAATTAAATCAGGCTTAGACACTTACTTTATATCATCCTAGGCTGACAATTATTTCTGAAAGAAACCACCATTGATAAATGGTACAAATATTGGGAATAGAAAGCTGAAAATCATTATCTTATTTTAAAAGAAAAACAAACAGATGATAATGTGCCCAGTCAATTCACCTAATTCCAAGGCCTGGCCAGTTGGAGGAGACCAAAGCAGTTGTTCACACATTCGATCACCTTCTCTGGTCTGCCACTCAAGTCACCAGTCGGTAATGGCAGACAAATCCTTTTCTGTTGCCCATAATGCTAGCAGAGTCTCAAGAAAATGGGAGTACTTTGTGTGTACCTGGTCAATGCTAAGATGTTACACTGCTAACTCTTATACCCAGGTGAGGAAAGAATAATTACTACGTAAATGGCCAAAGCTGCAGTGTGACCAAAACTGCTATCCTTTGAAAAATTATTGACCTCATACCAAACTATATACAAACTCATTGTTAAAATCACAAAACAAAGGCTCTTTTTAAAAAAGAAAAGGGAAAATGCTCTGAGACATAAATGGATCATTTATTTTGAGGGAATAAAGGGAAATATGTACGTACTGAAAGAAAACAACTTATGACATAATTTTCCTCATCATATAAATTTTAGAACAGTGTTCGTATCAGGATTAAGAGTCATAGCCAGTAAACTTTTTTAAGAAAATAGTTTGAACATGTTGAATAGAACATGATTCAAATCAAAGGAAACTTGTCAAAGGAAGTCAGTTGTTTTACAATAAATTACAGATGGAATAGTATAAATAAAAACCATACATTGAGTCTACATTTGTTTTAAACCCAACAAATGCCTTTCTTGCAATCTAACATATTTTAGAGTGGGAGAGAAAGTTTTCACGGGAAGTCACAGCCTCTGACGCTGATCCAGGATGTGCCCACGATCCAAATGGGGCTCTTTCCACTCTGGCTTCATAAAAGTATGTTGGTGCCACATCAAGTCTACTTTTATATACATATTCTGAAGTGTAAGGACTGCCATCTTAAAGGGACGGACAGTGGCATTAACCAGATAAGTAAAGGTGAACAGACAACTTTGGGATAAAGGTAAGCGGACCCACGGAAGCCTGTGCCCTGTGACTTTTACGGAAGCTGCTCCTAGGCCAGTTCGGCCCGTGTGCATCCAGCTTTGGTGATCACACGGGCAGGAGTCCTGTTCTTCCCAACCTTGCCCGGACATGTTCATTCTGTTGATTTCAGGGTTTACTCCTGCCGCTGCTTCAGCTGAAGGGTTTCAATGTCTACCAACCATGTATAGAGCAAGAGTGCATAAGTCACTTGGAGCTAGATTCACAAGCATAGGAGAGATCTGGCATCAGATAAAGCAGGCTGCAGAAAACACTGCCCAGATGAAGGCATGGTGCTTACGGTTATGATCATTTCATTGTGAAATATTTCTGTGGGCCCAATACAATAAATATCCATGCGCCAACCACCCTGATATAACTTCAAAATCGGAAATACATTTACCTCATATACTCTAATATTAATCTGTACAACCTTTCTGTTTTATACATCAGACTTGCTAGAGATTGGTTTTACCAGTATTTTCAAGAAGCCAAATTGGGCTTTGTGGATCATCTACAACCCACCCTCTCTTTTAGTTTCATTTAATTTATCCTTTTTCATCATTATTTCCTGCTTTCTACTTTTAGTTTGCTATGTTATTCTTTTTACTAACTTTGTAAAATTCACTCTGGATCTTTCCTTGAAAATATACTGTTCAAGGCTGTAATTTTCTCTCTAAATTCTGCTTTAGGTACATGCCACAGTTTTACTGACCCTTATGTATAAATATTTGGTAGTTTCCATTAGTATTTCATCTTTGATCTATAAATCACTTTTGCTTTTTCTAACTTGTGATGCTTATGTTAATATGGCTTGTTTATTTTACTTTCTTTGTGTTTTCTACATGTGATCAATTTTTGTAAATGTTTTATCTGTCTTTAAAAAATTGAAGTTCTGGGTGGCGACTGTGGCTCATCAAGAGTAGGACGCTAGCCCCATATACCGGAGGTGGTGTGCTCAAACTGGGCCCCAGCCAAACAAACAAAAAAAAAACCTGCAAAAAAAAAGAAGTTCCTGTCTTTGGGGTACAAAATTCAAAATTCAGGTATGTATAGAAGGTAAAGTTTTGTTTTTGTTTTTGTTTTGTTTTTTTTTGAGACAAAGTATTACTCTGTTGTCCAGGCTAGAGTACCACGGTGTCAGCCAGGCTTATTAGCAGCCTCAAATTCCTGAGTTCATGCAATCCTCCTTTCTCAGCCTCCTGAGTAACTGGGACTATAGGCGCCCATCATAATGCTTAGCTAATTTTTTCCATTTTTAGTAAAAACGGGTGTCTCTCTCTTGCTCAGGCTGGTCTTGAACTCCTGAGCTCAAGGGATCCTCCCACTTCTGCCTCCCAGAGTGCTACTGTACCCAGCCAGATTTTTAATTGCATTATCCAAATCTTCTATATCCTTGTTACCTTTTCCTAAACTAGATATGAAGTAATCTAAAAGATTACTAGGGAGGATGGAAAAAAAAAACCCTTAGATATGAAGAAATCGTCTACTACTACTGTGGAGTTATCAGTTTCTCCTAGTAACTTAGCCAATGCTCTTTCTATATTTGGAGGGTACAGTCTTATTATATATACAGAGCTCCTGGTAACTATATTTTTTGGCAGTAAGTCATGACTTTATTTCTAAAAAATTTCACATTAAATCTAACGTTATCTAGTGATAGCACTGCTGTGCCATTTTTTTTTTTTTTCGGTAAACTCTGCCTCACATACCTGGTGTTCCATTTCTTGACTCTGAACAGTACTGTGTCATGTCTCAAGGGTGACTCATGTCTTAGGGATTTACTGGGGTTTTCTAAA